ATCATTTTTTTGCTGCAAAATAGGTATGCAACGTGCTAAAATATAAACTTCCAATCCAGTCGAAAAAAATGACTATTTTATCATTTTAAATTGGTAATTGGTTTGCCTGAAGGAAACAACTGCTGAGTCGACGAAAAAATTCACCAGGACTGAAAAATTTTTCTTTGAAATCCACCGCAGATTCTCCTGATCGTGTGAGCGTCGGTGTACAAAAAAAATTATATTGGCTGATAATTATTTTGGATGATGATTATCTTGGATGATAATTATCTCCGGTGGAATTCGAAAGGAGAACTGGGAGGGCAAGTGCGACGCAGCAGATCCTGTCGAAAACGAAAAGGTCTTTTTGCCTTTTCCTTCTAAAACCGGGAAGCGATTGGCCTGGAAGAGGTTTCTTCGCGCTTTTTACTGGTACTTCGTGAGGGAAAGGTACTTGTACCTTTTTTCTATGCGCATGGCCGCAATGCATTTTTTGTGCGTGAGAGAAACAGCGTTCCCGAATTGACATCGATAAACAGCAATAAACATTAATGCAATAACATAATACAATAACTTAATAACATTAATGCAATAAGCATTAATGCATATGCTCATTTCGAATAGCATCACGCATCGCGGCGACTGCCACACCAATCCATGCGGTTTTTTTCGTAGGAATGAAACGAGGAAATGGAAGCAAACGCCATTATAATTGAAACGTTAAAAAAAATTGTTTGCCGTTCGTTCGCCTTTTTCACTCCGTTTTTTTCGCGCTGGACTTTTCCATCCGATCTTGTATTTGCGGGGCACTTTTTGCCCAAATGCAAATTTCAGTCCTGCCTTTTCTCCCTTGTGCGGATGAAATTGGTAGTGGATCGTGATCGAATTTTTAAAATTCTATTAAATTTGCAAATAGATGAAAACATTTTTTTTTAAAGGAAGATGCACAAAAATTTCATCGCTAAAAATGAATGAACCAACGTTTCGCCTCTTTCAGAAATGACGTTCAGTCGAATTAAAAATTAAAAAAACTGGATTTCCAAGGAATTCCACGCTCACGAATTATTTCGGCGTCCACCTGCTCGAGGCTCAGCCCATTCCGAATTCGCAGGGCGAATTTGGCACGCGAAAGGCGCTTCATGCAGATTCCGAGTCGGCGAAAAAGCCGAAGCATACTTTTCGATCATGGTTATCGTCGTAACTCGATGGCCTTCCTCGACCCGTGGTCGAATTTTCGGACTTGAAAATCGTGATTGAGGGCGACATCTATCGATACGAGCTGAACTGTTTGGAGACCCCGCGCCTTCCTCGCGGAAAAGGATTCGCGGTATGGACGAGGGCCTCCAGGTCTTAGGCGAGGCGATTTTCCGCCATCGGTGAAACGACACGCGACGGGGTCGTCGGGCGGTCTCTCTCTTCCTGCGCGTTCGTCTTCGCCGTTTCCAGTCGGTGCGGAATGAAAGTTGGAAGTCGGCTTCGTGGGAGCGAGGCAACTTTCGCTTCTCGCCGTCTTTCAGATGGACGAGGAGGCGAAAGTCGCGGCGGTACTCGAAAGGGAACGGTGGCATCGCTCGCTGCAGCGTCACCTGCCGGTTCCTCGATTTTTTTTTCTCTCTCTTGGCGACATTTGACGGCATCGGAGACGGCCGTTCGTGGCAAATCGAGCAGGCGGACGATCGCAGGAATTCGCTTTTCCTCTTCAAAGAAAAACGGACGATTGCGGGTCGAAATGAATTCATGTCTAAAATAAAGAAAAGTAATGCAAATTAAAAACTTTGAGGTGCATCTCAAAGAAAAGAAAAAATGCTGCAAGAAATACCAATCGCAAAAAAAACCTTCAAAAATGATACAATTTTGCACCACCATTTAGAATGACATCGGCCCAGCGGATTCAATAAACTTCGACACTTCCTTCTTTGTCATCCCCATCTTCCAGATAGAAATATTGAGTCCCGTGAAGAATTATGCCCTGATTCCTTTTGAAAACCACGTATTGAGTAGACTCTATCCAAAGTCTATCTATAGACTCTAACCACTGAGTAGACTCTATCCAAATGGAGTTTCAGTAAAGAGACGTGCTCGCAGGTTCGGTCTTCCATTTCCTTAGGTCGAGAGAAGAATTCTACTTTTCTCTACCGAAGGAAGTAGACGTGCAATCCAGCGTCATATGTGGGCGGGGCCATAAATTATCTAGACCTCCGCCGTACTGGTATTAATAATGCATGTGTCCCTACCATGGAAAAACCACTAATCGGTTTTTTATTTACACCGAAATGCTGCGCAAATATTAACCCTGGTCGGCTTTTCCGTCGTAATGCCTGGGTTTCGAAACCCAAAATATCCTCCCCGAATCCTATAGGTCTGGAGACCTGTAGGACCCTATAGGATTCTAAAGGATCGTATAGGTTTTTCGTGTTTCAAAAACCTATAGGAATGTCTATAGGTTTCCTATAGGACATTTCCGTAAGGGTTCAGCTGGTCTTCATCTGGAGACCAGATGAAGTCCGAGATGCCCCGCCGGCGCTGGTTCCTCACGACCGATGGGAGATTTGATCCGCAGAAACCAGGGGATGAAGTGGAATCCTCCGACTGTAGCCTTCCGAAACGGTGACCGGCACTGCCTTTACCTTTGGAACTAAATTTTTTCGCGACTCTTCTCGAGCGGAATGTGCCCTTTGTTTCATTGAACGATGATTTCCTCGTTTAGAAACTGCTGCGAATTTCGTCACATGAAGTCGATCTCGAGTAGGGGTGCACAACTGAAATGGCTGTGCGGGCCGTTTGCGGTGTTTACTCACTCGGCCGGCCATAACCCTTATTGACCCACCTGCATCCAACGACGTATCGACCCATGACCTTCCGCTCGACCTATGACCTGGAAAGGCAGAGGCGCGTTGGCCTCTCGGGTCTGGCGGGTCCAGTTCCTTCTCGGTGCGCGGTAGGACGGGTGCGAGATTTCCCAGGATTGGGATGTTTCAGACGGAATGACCACATTTCAAGTTTCCACCTGATCTATGTCGATGGCTGTCGATGGGCCGGTGTTCCAGGTTTCGCAAATATTTGTTAGTCCGACGTGCTCATTGTGCACATTAGTTGCCCTCACCCTCAGTCGCAATAACATGATTAACTGCATCGACGCTGTCGCATGCGCAGTTTCACGATCACGACGTTAAGTATTGATGGCAGTGGCAGGCACGATGAAGGAAAAGCGACGGCCGACCCGATCTTATCGTTCCTGGAACGGCGATTCCCGCGAAGGCCGGATCGACAAGGCAACAACGAGGCAACACCCCCCCCCCCCTTCTTCGTCACGATGCGAGGGTGTCCCTTTTTCCTTATCTTGGCATGGGTGTCTTTCTCGTGAGGTCGCATGACCTAGAAAATATATTTTCCTCGCGAAACGTTTGCACAGCAGGCACATTCTCCATTAATCCAGAATGGATTAATCCATTAATCCGTTCGAAGGTCACATTTGCGTCTTAAATTTGCGTCCCTGAGCACTAAAACATGAGAAACGGCGTTCAAAATTTCCGCCCTGCCATCAGCGACAATAACGGTGTGAGATTCTCTTCCTCATTTTGTTCAACTACGATGCCGCAGAATATCAATAGTTTTGAAAGGGGATCAAGATATTCCAAGCTGTGATTGACAGCTGAAGAAACACTTCCGCCTGCACGATTGCATTTCAAGAGCCCAGAGCACGAATTTTCGCAATTAGGTCGTGTTCAGCCCACATTAAGAAATTAAGATAAGGCGTCTCCGCGGCTTTCTTCCCCTGTCGGCTAATCGTCGGCTCGATATCCGACGTGGACGCCGTCACAGGGCGTCACAGGGCGTCACGCAACCGATCGACCGATGGAAACGATGCCTCGTGAGAGAGCCTTCGTCGCGAGGTCGTTCGCAGCAGTTTTCGCCTGGGGAATACGTTCCGTTCTACGTTCTCTTTTCCATAGCTTTTGATTCTATCCGAAGAATTGATTCATCCAGGTTGTCGGGGTCGGATTAGGTGGCTTTAGTTCAATGTGCCTCGAGGCAAAGGCCCAGTTTAGCAGAGGCAATCTGGGCATCGCTCCATTCTGTCAGCACAGAACACTGTCGGCTGAATTCATGGTAGTCCCCTTCCTCTTTCGTTGTAGGCCTGCGTTTCCCAGGCCAACCTCCCCTTTTCCTTTTTATGGCATAGGCCTGAGTGATTCCAAGCCATGCTGGGTTGCTTCCCTTAGGGACCGGTCTCGTCATGAATTTCGTTCGCAAGGCTGGTCCAGCCAATCGATAGCTAACAGTGGTGCCGGCAGACGGACTCAAGCCGGGCGTGCCTCTGAAAATCTGGGTACTATCTTCCACTCATTTAAGTTCATAGCTTCTGCGCCTAACGGCAGAAACTGTCTGGATAGGGCGTCGTGCTCGGCTTGCAGCCTCAACCCCCTGAAGACGCAGGCTGCATGACAGTTTCTGGGATATTTTCTTCACTGTCCTTCCTCTTTTAGCTTCCTTCAGCCTCGCTCCTTCTCTGTCGGCTAACCTCCCATAGCTTAGACAATCTGTCAGGTTTCGGGAGCGGGGTTCATTCCCCCATGCCTAGATCGGTCTGGGTGGGACTGGCACCATTGTGACCATGGGAACTTATTCCCGATGGAGATTTACTCCCCCTATGCAGGCGGGTTTTATTATTTTTATTATAGAAGTACGAAGTGGACTCAATTGCGTACATCAGCCAATGCAATGGGTTGCTCGGCAAAACGGGAGGCTTCTTATTCCAGGAATTTTTAATTGTAGTGGGGTTCATTCCCCCATCGCCTAGATTGGTTTGGGTGGGACAGGCACCTGCCGGTATTTCTATTTCACTATCTATGCGCCTTGGTGGAAGCAGGCCACAGCCCTACCAGGTAATCGCTTAAAAAGCTGTTCTTTATTAAACGTAGGACTCAATACTATATATTTTTTTTTAATTTTTATTCCTGATCTTGGTATTACACACTCGTAAGAAAAGCGGTAATAGCAAAGGAAAATATGAGGAACATGTGGGAGACGCAGAGAAAAAAGGGTTGGGGGAAGAAGAGAGAGAAAAAAAAGTCGAATTTCGTCTCCATTACTTAGAAGGAAATTTTCAGCACGGTTAAGGAATGCAGTTTCAAATTTACCGTTTTTAAGTTTGAAATCTGAAACAAGACGGATCAGTTGGTCAAATGAAATTTTTCAATTCGAAGCTGGAAAATTGAGCTCATATTTAACACGTTGAGTCTTTCTCCGCATTCACTCATTTGCAATATTTCATTTACCCATGTGCTTGAAGTAAAACACCCGATTTGTACTTTTTTTTTGCTTCGGAAGGAGGAAAATCGGCCTCCCCGGGTTCACGGGAATCATCGGTACGCGGAAAAGTTGATGCAACAGGGTTCCGTTGGTTTCTGGTTTCGACAATGACGGCAAGGCCGCGGGACATTCTAAATACTTTTTTTTAATGAGAAGATGAATGGTCTTCTTTTGTGTTTAGCAATTTCGGTTGTAATGTGATTGACGCTGGGTCGACGACTTGACCGATCTCGAGAATATCCCCTTCGGGTAGGGCTTCACGAAGTGATATCGATTATGATAAATCCGTGCCATTTCACGAACTCCGTGCGAAAAAAAAGAAATTTCCTCCGCCGACCGTGCCGCGTTCAAATCGGACCCCGATACTCATTGTAGAGCGCAGGGGGCGGCGGGGACGGCCCCCGGGGCGGGGGCGGCGCAGCCCAGGACCCCTTCGACATCCCCATGGTGGAGTCCAGGGCGTACCGCTTGGAGTACCCCAAGTACTCCTTGCTCTGGCGCTTCTCGAGCAGTTGGGCGATGTCCTGCGTCCTGGTCCTCCCGAGCCGCTGATAGTTCCCCACGACGACGACCCACATGTAGACGAGAATCCCTGCAGGTCGTGAAGGGAAAACAGAAACGTTGTTTTCGCCTGGAAAAAATTGAACTCTGGCACTCACTGCCGTTAGGTTTTGTGGTCCATCCGCATTGCGACATGAACATTTATCGAGGCTGATTTGAAAATTATCTAAGTAGTCCTCGATCAGTAGAAATCATAGATTCCACAACGCGCAGCAGCCATTTAACGCCGTAAAATGGCTGGAGATCGAAGGCGGTATCGAAAAGGCAAGGTTTTTGAATCCGCAATATTTCTTAATTTCTTTGGAACCCTCGGAGTCATACGAAACTCCGGCCGTGAGCACCTCTCTCCGAAAATAATTCCTCACTCACAGAAGATGACGAACATGGCAAAGATGGTCGCGACGGCGTAGCGAGAGTAGATGTCCCGCCCGAACGAGCCTGCAAGGATCCCCAGCAGGACCAGCAAGGCCGTCGTCAGCGAAGGATGCACCAGGATCCAGGGCAGGTGGAGGTTCTTCATGTTCTGTTCGACGAGCCATTTCGCTTTCGATTCACTTTTTCACTTTTAATCTTTTTAAATCCTCATGGAAGCGGCGGGACTCACTCGTTCGGCGGCGAGGATGAGGACGAAGGAGCTGAGAGCGTGCAGGACTGTGAGCACGAGGCCCGTGACGAGGACTGCATTGTATGCCCTAAATTGGTAATGGAAGGAAAATGTGAAGAAGCGGGATTCAATGCCGATCTCTTCCAACTGAATGCAGAGAACTTAAAAAAAAAATAAAAATAAAAATAAAATAACATTTAAAAAGGGATCGATGACTTCGAGATGTAATTCGTGGACTCACTTGCTGTGGCTCTCCCACATGTGGTTCGCGACTCGGTCGATCTCAAGACAGAGGAGAATGATGCTGGGGATCGTGACGATCTAGGAGGAAAATGTTAGTTTGTGCAGCGTGTCCCTTAAGAACAAGACCAAATAAATTGCGAGGAAAAAATTATCCATTATTGTTATTGTCCATTTCAGTTAATTTAAGAAATTGACAAATAAAAAAAAAAAACTTTTTCAAAATTCGTTAATGCATTACGGAGACACAAGTTCACGCTTTCTTTCTCGGGAATGGACTCACGAGAGACAGAGTCGCGATGACGACACACCCCTTCCTGGTGGAAATGCAGCCGCAACAAGTCTGCACCCATGCCATCGCTCGGGAACTCGGCGTCGAGTGCGGCGTCCCTCGAGTGACCAGAGGTCGAGGGGAAGTCGCGGGGCCGGGAGCGTGCGTGATGGGTGCGCCGGTTTTACGGGCGCGTTGCGATGGGGACGGTCCTTGGTCTGTCCTTGGTCCTTGGTGGGGGCCTTGGTTGGGTCCGGCGAGGGTGTCATCATTTATGCATTTCCCAACATCAAGCGCTGGGGGAAACAAGGACATGCGACCAGATGGTATCGCAACTCCCCGAATCGATTCGGCATCACGTCATCGTCGACGCGAATGCAGAATGAGCGTCTTCGCGGAAACGCTTCCATTTAAAACGTAAAATTCATTCGTGCAGCTTTTACTTGGTTTTTATTTCCCACTCATCTGGCTTAGCGCGTTTTCCCGTTGCGAGGAAGGACCTGCATCGTGATAGCTTATATTATGATGCACGACGTCTCGTCGATCGACAATGATTATATTATATAATATTGTATTAAGTGTTATATTAAATGATTCCCATCGACCCGATGGGAAGCAAATGGTTCATACGCGTGAGAAAGTTTGAAACGGAAGAATCTCAAGCTCAGTGCGGAATAACTGTTGCGAAGTCGGATCCAAATCCGAGCAAGCCGATCGGTGTCCTCTCATCCTCGTGTGACCTTTTATGACCTGGGCGGCGGGGATGGACGTCTTAAATGTTGAGTGCGTCTTCCCAGTATTCAACTTAAAAAAAATTATTTTATTATTATTTTTTATTATCACATTCCTGAGAGCATCCGACAGAAACGAGACTCGGCATGCTCCTCACCCTCGGAACACAAAATCTCTCCAGCAACTTCGAAGCTCCATCTCGGTGGTGGAAGAAAACGCAGAACCTCGTTTTTATATGGGAATACCATTCCGGTGTTTTTATTTATTTCCCGTTGGCTCTCCAGAGGCGTTTTTTGGAGGAGATAGCCCAACCGAAGGAAATTTATAGGCTTCCAGCGAGATGCGAGCCCTTTCCAATGTTAGTGCTGTACCACTTTGCTGTGACAAATGAAATTAATTGTCCTTATTGAGGTTGACTTCTGCTCCGGTTCGTCACGGTCGCAGGACATCGTTATGGTCACGAGTCGGTGGCTGGGTCTGCTAGTTGTTTTTTTCGTGCTTGTTTTGCGCGGGTTTATGGGGATGAGGCGAGATCTAGGCAGCGGTTAGCGGTGAGTAAGAACCTTCATTATAAAAAAGTAAAAGATGAGGAAGTTGGCTCGTAAGAATGAGATATTTTTGCCGCTCGAAGACATTGAACTGGTTCTCGGGTGGAATGCGCCAGGCAGTCGAATGAAAAATTCACAGAGGAGCAAACATCTCCATGCTAATTCATATAAACATCTGTGTATATGAATTAGCATGGCCTCTCTTAACGCGAAAAAAAAAACTTAAAACTGTTCAGGATCTTTTCAAACATTTTATACTACGGTATCCCTTAGGAATAATCCATGCGCATGAGGTCAAATCCCTTACAGGAACCTAATGGAATTCTATAGGTTCCTATATGACCTATAGAGTTCCCTATAGAACCCTCTATGGAACCGATAAGGTTCCCTATAGAACCAATAGGGTTCCCCATAAGGCCAATAGGTTCCCTATAGGACCCAAAGGGTTCTGAATAGGATCCGTAGGGTTCCGTATAAAACCTATAGGGTTCCCTTTAGGACCTGCAGGGTTCGCTATAGGACCTATAGGATACCATAAAGAGATTATACGGAACCCTATAGGCCTATACTGTTCCGTTTGAAGTTCTCTAGGCCACTAGATGGAAGTATTTGGTTCTCGCATTTCTGAAAGGGCACAAAAGTGCCCTCCCCTTCCCCAAGGGATCATTTCTCACAAGAGAGTTTTGTACGTCCCCAAATGTCTCGCCTTGCCTCATTGTAGCAATCAAAAAACTTCGACAGTTCCTTATTTGTCATCTCCATCTTCCAGATATAAGCATGGAGTCCCGTGAAGAATTATGCCCTTATTCCCTTTGAAAACCACGTACGAAACTGAGTAGACTCCCCATAAAGGGGACTTCGATCTTATCCACCCCTTCTTACATCTATGCAGCCACAACTATCCTAATCGCTTCTATCCCCCACCAAATAAGGCAGCTCAGCGGCAATTGTAGGATCTCTCTCTTTAGCTACTCTGCCTTATTAAGCAGCTATCCTCTCTGTCGGTCGGGACAAGCAGGGAGCCTGATAATGTTTTTCCTAACAGCTGGCACCTGTCAATCCTAAGTAGCTCACGGGGCACCTGATAGGTACCTAAAACTTATATAAATGCTATTACTAAATAGATAGGAT